GTTCTCAAGCCTAATGATAGGACTCGAGACTGATCGAGTTTCCTGCGGCGGGCCGCCGCCGGCACAGAAGAACCGCATATATACCTCCGAGATTTTCTACAACGTACTTAGTATCTAATTTAGGCTGTGAATAGTATGACACTTACACGAACGGTTCGAGAGACTGAGCTTTTGGAATAATGAAAATATCCGCTATAGGCTATAGTCAGCCAATCTGGCTATCAATGGTTCATTAGTGTAGCGGTTATCACTTCGGATTCTGATGGGTTTCGACCCGCGGATATTCCGACAACCCCGGTTCGAATCCGGGATGGACCTTCCTTTTGTTTCATCTTCTGGCCTGGACAAGTTTACGAACCCACTCGATTCCCAAGTCAATGATGGTTGATATGAATGTACATTTGTCGATGATTACACATATTCTTCACAATCGGGCAAGCTCCCCCACTCTCACTCGAGCCATCCCAGCACCAAGGCAGACCTAGGAGAAGTGCAGATATCAGTGTGTGTCAAATTTGTGCAGCGAACGGTACGTATCACTAACCTTGCCGGATGTCAAATTCTTAGTCGAGAACGCAACCTCAACGACCGCACTGGTGTTGCTGCTCATCTTCCAGATAGAAGTTTCAAGCACATCTACAGGGCATGGGCTTAGCTGTGCTGTATAATGTTCTCGAGAATGATGAACCTACCGCCTGGTTTGACTGGACTGCTGAAGCGTGCCCCAAAAGCCAACAAGGCGGTCGAATCGTTATTTCCGACAGTTTTCAAGACGGCTCGAGCTGCGAACCCGAACGTGCTCAATCCATGGAGAATTGGCCCACCGAAACCCGCTCTTTGTCCTATTCGTGGGTCTATGTGCAGTGAGGACGATGAGGGTCAGCCCAGTCCCTCAGAATACTCGTACTGAACCAAACTTCAGCTTACCGATATGCAAGGGGTTGAAGTCTCCGCTAAGCCGGTAAATAATGGCTTGCTCCTCTGATGTGGTTTCGGACACGGCGTAATCTGGCGACTTGTCTTTTGGGACTGGTTGGGAGGATGGGGCGGAGGCTAGTGCTTTTGAGAACTTTTCACCGGTTGCCTTACCGCCGACGTTGAACGTTGCTGACTACGGATTTAGATGCGAGTGATATCATTAAAGAGTACAAAAAGGCATCGACGGCGATATGAAGTGGAACTGACCACCATACGAGAGTAAGGAACCCCATTGCCATCGACAAGCAAAGCCTCGGTGTCGACGATAACCCCGGACTCTGGCCAGTCGGAAAACAAACAAACAAAAGGATTCAGAAAGAGCTTTAAGCGAACGCAAGACTTCACCGCGTACTATTCTCGTGAATGCCTATAATCCTCTTCTTCAACTTCCAACCTTCACCGCTTTCCAGCGGAAGAGGTTTGAGGCTTTCGATGCTTTGCGAGCCGTGGACGATTCGGCTCGGGTCGAATTTCGGGAGACCTGGGACGGTCTCGCCCTGGCGGACATTTTTATTGAAGTCCGTCACGTCGGTGCTCGAGCCTATGAAGCGTAAGATGGTTGAGTGTACGGAAAGGGCGGGGGATGGTGAGAGCGTACCTTTGAGGCCCAACACAACAGGATATGTCGAGAAGGCCGCGAACGACTTGTCTGCAACCGAATATCATGGTCGGTGCTAGTCAGCTTGGCCGAACCATTGTAATGGGCTAAGAATGCGAATGACCTAGCTCGTAGACGAAGGCCAAGTCGTCTTTCTTCGCTCCGATCCCAACGGCATACAGAAGCAAATCCTTCTTCGTCCAGGACACAGGCTGGTCCTGAAGTTGGTAGCCAACAGCTTTCGCGAGGTCAACGGACATTGTGATCGTTTGTAGCACTGTAACGGGGTGAACTTTGAAGATGGGGTGGTCGGGATGAACGAACACGAACTCGATTGAGCGGAGGTGCTACGTCCGGTCTCGGTGACCTCAATTACCGGTACCTCCAACACAAACATCCAATCACCAAGTCCCTTCTCACATTAATAAACTCTATCCATTAACTTAGAATCTAAGCTCTAATCCGCAAACGATACACCAACGTAGCCAAAAGCGAAATAGCGACCCAAAGCAGCGCCTTCCTGATAGCTGGCCATGGCCGCCAAAGCTCCCACAACGCCCTCACACCTCCAATCTCGGGGATCCGTTCGCCCTTCGAACTCAATCCTCTCCAATACCCGTTTGACATCCTCCACATCAGCGCGCAATGCCACGCCGAGTTCAGACCGGCGCCGATGAGCCCAGTGTTGATGATTTTGAGCCAGTACGGCGACGGGCTGTTTGGGATCTCGATGAGGCCGTCGGTGGGTTGGTGT